TGAAAAACAAAACCTTAATATTATTATCAGTAGGTAAAGTTTTCGTAAAAGTTTTATTCATAACTTTTTGTTTTGTTATTGAAATTAGCTTAGTTAGAAATTCATACGCACTGCGTCATCATTAAATTATACAAAACGGTTCGAAATATATAAATTAAATTTATATTAATTTTCTAGAAATATATTCTCTTGTTAGATTTACGCGGATATTAAATATTTAACATATTTTATTTATTTAAACGCACTGTTATTAGAAATATTACAAAGTTTTAAATTAAAATTAAAAAAATATTGTAAGCTGCTTTGACGCCATTTGTCTTTTTTTTTAAGTTATTGCATATTTTTTTGATATAATTAGTCTCTCCCATGACCATGTTTTCTTTAAAGTAGAGCGTTCTAAAAATGAGAGACAAGAAACTAAACAAATTGAAATATGATTTACTTTTATTTAAAATTATATATTAATCAATTTTTGATTACATTTGGCGAAGTATAAATCTTAATGTTAATTATTCTCCATCTAAGTCTCGCCCTTAAATCAACTACCATTAAATATGAATCCAGCTTTATTTGATAGCTTCTAGATTGGAGGCTCAGACTATAATTTAGCAATATACTAGATATGCAAATGGTTATAATGAAACGATATAGAAAGATATTTTAGGTAAAGTATAGTGTCAGAATCAGTTAATCTATAAAAGCTGAGATCAATTTAACTAAACAAGAATTCACTTAGTACGAGGACGTACAAAACCTAGGTGAGATATAGTAAAAAAACAAGCCAATAGTAGCCTAGTGGTAACGCGCATGCTTCGACAATCAAGTGAAGCGGGTTCGAACCGCGGGTCTCAAATCTCTGACATACTTGAATCATTCTTAATATAATTACCACATACGTGGTAATGTATAAAATAAAGATAACGATGGATGAAAACATCGTGAGCAGACCTGTATGCCTGAGAGAACCTAGCAAGTTTTCAAAACACATGTGAAGTCCGCCAACCCGCACTTGGCTAACGTGGAGTACGACCAGATCCTCGCCCAATAAAGGGAGACCCGCGCCTCGCAGAGGGTCTTTGAAAATGACTGAATTACTCGTAATATAATTATAGTAAAAATAATGTTAATTTTTGAAGTAACTATTAAGAATCAAAACTTGATTTTTCGTGTACGTAGCAATAAAGCAAAGAAACAACGCGTGCCCAAAAATAGATAAACCACTTTTTATTTATTTATCACTTCATATTATTATATTAAAGCTTTCGTGAAGTTATTATTATAATTTAACTAGCTACGTTTGGTACGTTTTAACGGTTAGTATATAATAGATAGAGTATATATATATATATATATATATATGTATATATATATATTCTCCCGCAGTAAAAAGCACCGGATATCACTCTCCAGTCCCCCAACTATTCGTCACTCTGTTGTGACGTGAAAGAAGGACAAACAAACAAACACAAGCTCACATTTAAATATTATAAAGTATACAATATGGATTTAAATTTGCTCAATTGTATTGAACCTAAAGTCTTTGACTAACAATAAGTCAATAATGAATGCTCATTGAGCCGTCGCGTTCAAAAGTTGGTTAATGAACATCTTAATATGATATGCATTTCGTAATCAAGACTAATATTCCTTTCCCAACCATGAGTGATATAAAATTCGGAATCTTTTTAAATAATGCCTTATTGTTAAGTACAACTTATTTTACCGAAATATAATATGTATTATGTACTTTTTATATCTTTAACATTATTATAATATTGGAACTGTTTTAATTATAGATGAAATTTAAGTGTTGACTAAGTTTATTGTTAGAAATGGTTATTTCTATTTTATCTACCAATATATAAAACTTCTTTAAAATACTTTTTTTTACTGTTGGAAAATGCATTTACACATACCACTTGTAGACATACAGGTTGTTATTTGGAACTCGAAAGGAAAGAAGTTCCAGTACCAGAGCAACCCGCACGATACACCGCCCACCGAAGTGGGCGACCTCCCTATGGGTTCCTCAACATCCTAACCGTACCCAATAATTACGGTATCGCACAACGTTTATAAATGAGGAAGTATATAAAATACTTCTTTATGCTGTAACTTAACAGATTTTAGAAAAGTTTAGAATTCAATATACATCTTTAATATAATGATATGTTATTATTGACATTCATTTAGTTCTACGTTTCTGAAACGAACTGCTAAGGTGTGGAACACCCTTCCAGCATCCGTGTTTCCTGCCACCTATAATATGAGTACCTTCAAGTCAAGAATGAATAGGTCTTCTAGGCAAGCCTGCTCCAACCTAGACCTCATCAATGCTTTCCAGCGTTGATTATCGTCACACGCAAGCCTATCTCAGTAATAAAAAAGTACTTCTTATGTATGAGCGAAGCCGTTTAAAAGTAGTAAGTTAAACCTAGTAGCTAGTAACTTTGTTAATTAAGAAATATCTGTAATTCATTTGAAATACTAAAATCCGTTCAAATATTGTAACTTAAATCATTTCCCATCTGAACACGATCCCGACCAAATTGGCTTTAACCCGAGTAAAGTTGAAAACGATAAGCGAATTGAATTGAAATGAACAAATATATTGGGTTATTAAATGTAATTTTTTAAAAGTTATTTCATTTCATGGCTACATAATTTGATGAAAAATATTATTTTATAAAGGTTATTTAACGGTTAATACTTCTGTAGTATTTGAATATACGTATTAAATAATATCAAAACTTATATAATGGCTTTATTGAATTGTGTATAATGTACATAGCTATTGATTAATAGAAACATTGGAATAAAAAGTAACTTCAAATATATTTCTTTATTCAATAGACTATGACATACTAAATTTTTATCTGATTGGTTGAAATATCTAAACTAAGCGAAATGAATGCAAACTCATTAGCATTTACAATATAAGTAAAAATTAAAACTCATAAGCTTTAAATACCTAGTACCTGAGTGAACGAGCTTCGCTCGTTGTAGTAAGTAAACCTACTTGCTGTGCCAGCAGTCGCAGGTTCGAGTCACGCTGGGGGCATTAATTTGTGTGATGAGCACTAATGTTTATACTCCCGTCATGGGTGTTTATAATTATAATATAATATGTATATATTTAAAAATATATAATATGTGTAGTGTATCAATTATTTTGTATTCATAACAGAAGCCTCGTAGCTCACCATGGAACTAGATGGTGATGTGTGTTAATGTCCCAACATATTGATTATAATTTAATTTATTTATAGGTGACAATGCAAGTACCACAAACATTTACGTGATAGCGCTATGTGACACTGCAGCACGTGAGCAGATAAAAAAAGCTCCAATAATTAGTTATAATTTTTTTTGATAAGCGCATTTTTTCAAAAATGACACCTATATAAATAAACTTAAACAGAAAAACATTATTTATTTATAAAATTTGATCCAAATTATTAGAGCCGTTTATGAGATACATGAAATAAATATTTTAGCTCAATTCCCCATACAAATTTTCATACCTATTTTTACCCTCTTAAGGGATGATTTCTAAAATAAAAAGTATACCGTGTCCTTTCCAGGGTCTCAAAATATCTTCTTACTAAATTTCATCTAAATCGGTTCAGTAAATCCAGTGATTACCCCATACAACTTCACAAACTCACAAATTCACAATCTCACAAAGTCACAAATTTTACCTATTTATAATATTAATATAGATACAGGAATTTAGCTCATGTAACACCTCCAGGTAAATTTCTAAGAAATCTATCTATATATAGCATATGTTATATATTTTAAGCACTTGAGAAAGAAGACTAAAATATAATAATATAAAACTATATGTTTAAATAATTAAAATATTTTCAAAGAAGTTCAAATGAAAGTTTGCGGTAGCACTTTTATAATCACTTCAGCTGTAAAGTACGGAAGAAAGAGACCATGAATTCGATGTAGGCGAGGAGTTTTCATACATAATTTATGTCTTAAACTACGCTTTCATATTAAAAACATTCGGGAAATTTTTCCAAGGCGTCATAAAATTCGATTTAAGCTCCGCTATATTCATAACCTTTCTCGAAGAATTAAAATTGAGGTAAGTTATGGTTTAATTTAAATCATTTTGTCATCTTTGAGTTAAAGAATATTAATATATTAGGTATATTATTGCATTTTATTATAAAGTTATTATATATTTATATATTTTAGGTACTTAAAGGGGAATATGACACGGGTGTGATTTTGGAACTAAAAAGGACACACTACAATATACGTCATTACAGTTTAAGGGTAATTACTTCTTATGTATAAATGGTTTTTATTTCTTGAAATTAATTTAGAATCTTGGAGCATAACATTTTAAATAATAAAATAATGAAAATACATTCACAATTTTTGTCTATGATATCACGTAACATATTTAAAAGACAATAACAAAAATAGAACACCAGATATTTTTATTTAGGAAATACTAATGTTCATCCAGTGGTCCAAACACGATTATTATCATTATTGCAAATTTGATTAACACATAGTATAAATAAACCTATCTATTTATTATATGATTAATAATAAAATGCTCGTCAATTATAGCTATTAAAAAAAATCGGTTGAAAAACAGTGGAGAAAGTATAGTTATCAAAATAATATTGCATTGAGACTGTTAAGAAAAATAAAAACTTGTTATCTATATAAAAGTCTAGCAAAAAGCAAAGACAAATCTATTCCATGGGAACCATGTTTTTTTTGGGACAAAAATATCTAGGCTATAATCTATCTCTGTGCCAAATTTCATCCAGATACGTTCAGCCGTTCTGGTGTGAAAGAGTAACAAACAGTTTATAAAACAATAATTATAGTAACAAATAGTAGTAGTAACAAACGAGTTATAATGGTAGTAAGATAGTAAGATTTTAATTCAATTAAACATAAGCTACTCGTAGGTTTATTTATTAGACGTATTATTTATCGTCTGTTAGTTCGACGGAAGTCATCTAAATGTCAGTAAATATGAGACGTTCATCTCCCGTAATTAGCGTTCTGTCTGTTGAGCTGGAATATACGGAATCGACTCCAATCTGTAGTAAATATTTGTATTTACTGGAGATGTTTCACATTCTAAGTTATTTTAGCTTTAGTTTTACTAGTTTATGTAAGATATTGATTAGTACTAAGAAATATAGAATTTTCTTTTTAAGTTGTATTTATAGTTTATGTATAAAATACTGTCATATTTAACCAATAGTTTGAAGGATTAGAATGTATTTTAAGATCACTAATACTATATTTGTTAAAGGTGATATGTATATAAGCAAAATTTGACAGCGGTTGAATTTCACCGCTATGTACTGTGCACGTTTTTCTAATATTTGTTTTTGTATATATGTATATATACAAAAACAAATATTAGAATATACTCCTCTATATACAACCCCTATTACTCGTCACCTCATCGTCCTCCACTTTCTCCTTCATGTTCAGTCTCACACAATCTATCCATCTCTTCTTCGGCCTTCCTCTTTCTCTCCATCCATCTATCATTACCATCGCTCTTCTCATCATGTGCATTTCATCCTCTTCACATGTCAATAACAACATAGATGATTTCATTTCAAATTATCTATCACTGTTGCTATTATGTACTACTAGACTGTAAGTTATTCTTTTTAAATTAAACAATATATAAGTTTCTTCAAAAACAACAAAAATATACAGGTTTCAAAATAATAAGCTATAGGAATTTTAACGTAATATTTTTCTCGTCTAATAATCACAATAACCACGCCTAACTTGATACTTCGACAAAAAGGAAACAAAGTTAATACTTCTATTCACTCGGGTCGGTCGAATGCAAATAAAATATAAAGTTCAACCGAGTGTAATTGGCGTCTTAGCGTCTTCAATAGGTATTACTGGTTTTGCTTGGATTTTTATAAAAATAATATTGGTTTCATACTATTGAAATGTAGTGATATGTATAGAATTGAGGCTTAAATAAATGTCGGGACATTAACTTGGGTATCTCTATAACCTATCCATCCGTGATTTTCGTTACTAGCGATAGGAATTTGACAATTCATATACAACTATAATAACTGCCTCGGTGAAATAGTGGTTTGTATGTATGGTCGCTGATCTGGATTCTGGGTTTGAGTCGGGCCAAATCCATTTATTGAGGTTTGTCTGTCAAGAAATTCTCAGCAATTGCCAGGAGTTGGAAAGTTTTCGATTAAAAAAAAAGAATTAAAAAAAATATCGTTTTATTTCAAGCTGTTTGCCTAGTTGTTAATCGACTTCAAAAAAAATAGTTTTTAAGTAATTTTAAAGTTAGTGGACCTTTCTTGTTGAAAAGTACTTAAACATAACCAAAAAGTCTAAATAAGTTACTAATTTTAGATAAAAGGGATTACTTTATTTTAAAGTTATATTATCTAAGTTATTTAATTTCAAGAAATTTCAAAGTTAATAAACAACAGAATTGTTAAAACGCCAGAGCCTACTTTCAAGTTCTTCATAGTTTACTTATAGATTATTTGCGTCTGCTTTGCTTAAAGGATCTAAAATAAATATTAGTTTGGCGCCATCGAAGATTAACGATTTCTTCTTATTCTCGTTTAAAAATTGTCAAGTAGGAAAGATAATATACGGCATTTGACGATACCGTCAAATAAAATTTAGAGTATCTGAAAATTGAATTTGCTTTTTAGGGTTCTGTAATCTAAAAGGCTAAATCCATACTCATATTATAAATGTGAGTGTGGATGTTTGTTTGTCTGTCCTTCTTTCACATCTAAACAGAGTGACAAATTGGCGTGATTCTTTATGTGGAGATAATTAAAAAGCTGGAAAATGATGTGGGCTACTTTTTGCCGCTAGAGATTACCTCATTCCCACGAAAAAATACGTTATGAATTATAATACGACCCAAAAAAAAAATTCCTTAGAATTACTTGAAACTTGGCATTAATGCTCTTCGATAGAGTTAAATAAATACGTGTTTTAGCATTTTTCGAAATTCATCCCTTAAGGGGGTAAAATAGGGGATGAAAGTTTGTATGAAACCTAACTTTTTAGTTTTATTTGTAGTTTTAGCGCGAGCAAAGCCGCGAGTTCTGCTAATCTATCTTATTATTATTATTATTATTATACTTATAATAAATCTGTAGAGAGGTCAATTCTGTACATAAAATATATTTCCAAAATAACTATCAGGGGGTGATTAGGGATCGATACTGATGCCAAAAATGCAATCAGTAAAATTTTTGTCTGTCTGTCTGTCTGTCTGTATAACCGTTATAGAAACAAAAACTACTCGACGGATTTTAACGAAACTTGGTACAATTATTTATCATACTCCTGAGCTGGTTAAGGTATACTTTTCATCACGTTACAATTAATAGGAACAGAGCAGTGAAGGGAAATGTTGGGAAAACGGGAGAAGTTACTCCATTTTTTAAGCTTCCGTCGCGTGTGCAACCTTAATGGTTAAAGCTACACAGAAATCATGTATGACGGAAATGTTCTCCTTAAAATTATATAAAAAATATCCCACGACAGCATATGTCTATCTTTTATGGTTGACTCACAATAACAAGATAACTCCCGATAGCTTAGCAGTTCGAAGCTTTCTGATTTATATTTGTCTACTCTTACGTTTATAACACTCTCAGTCATCCCTAATTAAAAAAGTTAACATTATAAACTATTCCATGAAAAAGAATCATAGATATCGGTATAGAAACACCAAAGTTATACATGAAATACGCTAATAATAAGCCATCGCGAGTCAGGGGGATGTAAGAAGACAGATAGAACAAATCCAGATTTTTTTCAATTTTTTTGTTTCTCTGTCTGTTTGTATGTTTGTTTATACGGGCTAATCTCCGAATCTATTGGACCGATTTAAATGAAACTTTGCATGGTACCTTATATTCCCGGACAACGTCTTAGATATTTTTTATCCCGGAAAATTAAATGGTTCCCGTGGGATAGTTAAAAAACTATTATAACTTATACAACTAATGCACCTAATTTAGTTAATTTTAACATTCTGATACCTTATATTGCCGGTCAAACAACAGGTTACTTTTCATCCGGGAAAAATGAACGGTTCCCGTGGGAACTAATAGTTTTCTATTAGTGTTTTTCTAGAGGCGAACCCGAGCGAAGCGAGGGTGAGCCGCTAGTTGTCAATAAAATCTACATATTGTACATTGTGTTGTACCTACTTTTAATCTTACAAATCAGTAAGTTAAAACAAACGACAAATTCATATTTCATGCTACGGAATCCTCGGTGTGCTAGTCGGACGCGCACTTGTCCGATTTTTCATTTAATTGACATACAAAAAAATACTATCAAAAATGAGATCTTACTACTAAAACAAAACTTTTACGTATTCGAATTCGTTTGCAAGTATTATTGAATAATATATCTGACGAAATTTAATTTTTAAAATATATTTAGTTCTTTCTTTGATTTACGCAAATATTTAACATTTTAAATAAAATTATCTTTTCGGATTATTTCGCGGATTTATTTAGATTTTTGGTTTCCGACGTTTCGAATGCATACAGCAATCATGGTCACAGGAGAGAATCTGATCGCATATGCATGCATAAGGTATATACGAGTATGTATAGTTTAGTTGGACTCGTAAGGAAAACGTAAGATAAACCTTCATAAATAAAATACTGTGTCCGTGTCTCCGTAATTCTTCTCGTCATAAACGGCTTGAGCGATTTTAACCATGCTTTATGTATTTATAACCTGAAACCTCGGGTGGAAGAAGAAGGTGGTAGCTGGACCCGGTAGGTAGTTTTGTTGTTGATATAGATTTTTTTACATTTACTATCATTTTCGTCCACTAAATTTAATGCTTTATTTAATAAAATAAAAGCCTCAATCATAAAGTGCATAGAACGAGCTTCGGAATGTGTAGTGAGTAGTTAACTCTTTTTTATTGCTGAAAAATACACATAAAATAGCTTCTCAACATCAAGCAACAGCAGGTATTTATGTGAGATTTGTAGGCAAGTAATAAACTGAAGATATGAAGTTAAGCATTTAAAATATGAATGATAACTGATTATTTAAAACTTTATTGTATAGTAGTAACTTTAAATCATATTATTTTAACTCTATACTATTAAATATATGTACTTAATTTTAATTAAAATCTAAAAACTAAAAAAAGACCAAAAGCGGAGCCCTATTTACAGGTTTCATTTTTCTTTCTTTACAGTTGCAAATTATTCGTACTTTAAATTATTTATTTGAGCATGGGCGGTTCTCATTTCGTTGGCTCAAAGGCTAAATACATTTGATAGAGTTGGAAATGTACCGGATAGCGCTAAAAAGAACACTATGTGGTCGGCCATCGGCGTTAGTGAAACGTAAGTGGTAAGCTTACAGCGAACAATTTATCAAACAAGTATGTATATAATAAAAAAGTATTTAACAAATATGTAAAAATGGTGTATTAATGATACATAAATAAATAATATCAGTTAAATCCTTATCATTCTTTACATTAAGGACTATCCAGGACCCTGAGAACATTCTCTCTTAAGATAACCAAAGTCTGATCTGAGTAATATAATTGAAAATTTTTAGAACGGTATCCATGTTTTGATCTAAAAAAAGTAAGAGTACTATATAGTTTTCTATATAGTACTCTTACTTTTTTTATGATGATATTTTTTATTATCATTTTTTTATATAATTTTTGTATGATTCATCCAAAATAGAACAATCCTCTTTCTGAATTGTATGGAAATTGCACACTACAGATAGATATATTTTATTTAACGTTTTTAATTTAGTAATTTCCTTATTAGTTTGTATCTAGTTATACTTTACAACCATTTACAAAAAAAATAATTAAAAGCTTATGTACCATACATGTAACATAATATAATATGTTCTAATTCACGCCTACTCTCCCAACTCAAAACTAAACTACTTTTGGCACGACGTAAAAAGTACCGAATGCAAGCGCTATTTATTCCAGGCTACATAATGTTTTGCGGAATCTCAACAAATACAGATTGTTCCTTTTGTATAATATATATATATATATATATATATATATATATAGAGAGAGAGATATATTTGATATTGTAGTTGGAAGTCGATGATCGGTGACTGTGAACCCGCTAGCTCTAAATCATTAGAATTACCGTTTCAAGTTTATAACATTGTGACTTCCCTGATTAAATTGTGTATTGAGCACTGAATACTTTATTATTTGAGCCCTGATAACGCCCACAAGATGAGTAACCACCAAAGATGATGTTCGTAGTATATGGATAACACGACATATATATATCTCTATGATCAACCAACGTTACTAAGCCACGTATCTCCAAAGAATGTCGTGATGGCGTCTCGACCCCGCTCGAGACTAAATCTCTGCTCTAAATTCAAAAACTATTTAGAAGCAATAAAAAGTAAATTAAAGAACATAGTGACTTTAAACAATAATAAGGTTTCATAACAGAAAAAGGTAACTAAATCCTCCTCCGTCTCGGCCGTCCTGCTGTTCACACGCCCTCGGGTGATCTTGTGGGGCACTCACCACCGCTATTTCTTCTACCACGGCCGTCCTG